ACAAAACAAAACGCCGGTCACGAATTAGAAGTACAAACCGAGGATTTGCAAAGAAAAATGTCGGAGGATTTCGATATAAGCCAAGAGGAGACTGGTTTTCCTTTGCTAAAGTAAGCAAACTTTGCTTCCTTAAACAAACTCGTGAGACTAGCATATCTCAGAGGCGCGCATGACGCATACGTCCTACGCCATCCTATACTGTAAAAAGCACCGTCCTTCGGATGAGACATTAAACTGAGGTCCTGACTCTTTGTGGTCATTAAAAATCCCAGGATGTCCTTCGAAAAAGAGTAGGGGTGTAACCCCGGCATCCTGGCCAAATTTGCCCATTGGCCTCTGACCATCATGGCCTCCTAATCATCCCCATACACTGATTGACTTCTTCACTCCTTATCCTCTCCACCAATAAGCTGGTGTGTGGTGAGTGTTCTGGCGCAATATGGCTGCCGTCGCATCATCCAGGTGGATGCTGCACACTGGTGGTGGTTGAGGAGATTCCCCCCTTCCATGTAAAGTGCTTTGGGTACTCAGAAAAGCACTATATAAATGTAACGAATTATTGATTATTATTATTATCATCATCCGCCGGAATGCTTCCGCATACGACGGTCAGCAGAAAAGTGAAAAAAGAGAAAAGTGTTTATTACGTTTGAAATATGGATATTATTCTTACCAAAACGCATGGATTCGCTATAGGAGGCCTTTATTCATGCCCCGGAGCCGTGTAAGGCACGTTTATTATGGATGTGTGCGCTTTATTTAACGTGTTTTGGACTGTTGAACAGAAACACCCGCTCACTACAATGATAGAGCTTAGAAGTGCCAGGACAATTTTTAATATAAAAACACCCATTCACTGCCATTATAAATCTTGGAAGAGCCAGAACATTTTTTAACATAACTCTGATTGGATTCGTCTGAAAGAAGAAAGTCATATACACCTAGGATGCCTCGAAGGTGAGTAAAACACAGGCTAATTTTTATTTTTGGGTGAACTAACCCTTTAACTGCAACTGTTATTTTTTTCCTTGTAAAATCACTGTGGGTATTATTTCACACACCGTTTTCTAGCCAAAACCATCCAGGTGAAAGAAACTACCGTGGGGAGCTGTGAGGATGCACTGCGCTCCATTAACGGCTCTGTTGTTGCGTTATCCAGTTTCAGACCAGCCCTCCTGAGCTACTCTAAAGCTGGTTGCCATCTGTAATTGGACCGAGTGCTCCCAAATGACCAGTGTGTCTCAAGTACCTGAACATTATAGAATAAAGCATTTGTGCACATTTGCTTTATTTGTGGAAGGTACTGCTGCATTTAACAGTTCTGCTGAATTCTAATGCAGGTGAAGCTGAATCATCTATAAGGGCTAATTGTTATGTACGTTCACAATCACATCACATATCCTATAGAGCAGAACATGTCACGTGGCATGTAACATTCATCTTTGGAGAATAAACAGATAGTTATGATATTACGAAATGGGTCAAACCTGTTTTTTCTTTTCAGTGCTAGAACAAACATAAAATCCACCAGTGCACTTATGCTTTAACACCAGGTAGTGTCATGCATCATAATCTCAGATGCTGTATGCAAAATGTCTTAAAGTCTCCCCTGCATGACAAAGAGCAACATGGCTGAACAATTAAAATATGTAGTTGCTATAAAACCTTCTAGTATTTTCCATAACGAAAGTGTAAGTATTCTACAATATAGTGGAATACTTGCAACAAAAAGATGACAAAAAGACAAGAAAGTAGTAATGAGAATGTTCTAGTTAGAAAATGAGGTCTATGAAGATGCTTGATTTTATTAAGCTAAATCATCCCTATAGAGATGGTCTCCACAAGTTGGTGGGAGAGTTTTTAAACAAGAATCTAAAAATACCACTATTTATTGAATGGAAAAAGAAAAACGAGTGGGAAAATGATGTTGTGGCTTACTAACTGTTGTACTGTGAATTTGTGATTTCAGCCTTTTTTCTGCCTGTACTAGACATAAAACAGTATGCAAGAGATTTGAGAATGTTCAAACCAGATTGTGCAAATGTACATGTCCTATATTTTTATGCTTGTGTGCACATTTCAGTGTTTTTGTAAGCTTCTAAATTATGAACGTTATCAGAAACATTTCATGGTTTTAGCTAATTTAACCTTCATAGAGTAGTGTATTACCTCAAATTTGAAAAGGTCTTATAGAAAATATTGTTAACTGTCCAAAATGTTATTTATTGAATAAAGGGGTTTTAACATTGTATCTAGAATAACAAATTAAGTTGATTCTGATTAGGTGTTTACAAGTCCTAATTCACCCAAAATACAGATATTAGCCACTTGTTTCTTATAGCTTTGAAATCACTAGACATGTATGTGCTATTTGCAACATTAAATGTTTAAACAAGTTCTTCATCCATAGTATATGTAATATTACTTTCAAATGCATTACATTTAGCTAATAAAGACATAGTATTCATCATGGTTGATGCATTGCATTACTTGAGATTTTCCTGCAGATTTCCCTCTTCACATGACTTAAGTTTCTTGTGTTTCAGCACTCACAATCATGAATGGAGTCATTACAATAAAAGAAAATGCACCACACAATAAATGTTTTTCAACTGCACAACTGTCATTCTCTTTACTTTTAGCATTAGAGCATGCATTCCCTTGCATTACACATTCACCTTTATCTGCAGTTTAAACTACATTTACAGCCCAGAACCACTAAATGTCTATTTGCACTGTATATTCTCTTGTCTAAGAAGAGGCAGACTAGGGGGAACAAAGAATATATATTTAAACTTCACCTGTCCACAAGCTTGACATATTCTCCCGACAGGGTCTGAATACCAGGACCAATTTTAGATTAGGGTGGTACACAGGCCTCTTCTAACACCATTTACTCTGAAACATGGGAAGAATATTTCACTCCGATAAAGTGGCAAGTCATCAACACTTATACATTAGCTTAGGCAAATAGAAAGCCTACACAAGAAAGATTTGTCAATTAACATTTAATCGCCCTGCTGCACTGTTCCACATCAGCCAGATTGAGAACCAGAGACCAGAACAGCCATTTGTAAAGCAATACTGCCCTCTGCATTCAACACAAAGCAGAGCTCACACTCAAATTTACACTGCAGTGCAAGAGTTTGAGGAAATCTGAAAGAACTCCAATTAAAACTTGATTTAATTTACAGGTAAAGCAAGTTAACGTTTTGATAAAATATTACAAAGACAAACCTATATTTACACATAAAATAATTATAAAATTCACGCTGACCTCCAAGGATTCATGTTCAAATCTGCCTTAAGAACTATTAAACAAAGTATTAAACATGATTATTAATTAATTACTGCATTAATTTGTATTAAAAGAAATTTAACTCTAGTGGCAGTAGTGTTAAATTTATCTCATCAGATTAACAGCAATTTAGAGACGTACTACACTAGTCAGCATTTGAAGTGGATCAAAACCTATGAAAGTTGTCCTAAAACTCTTGATGAACTTTTTTGATCCACTTCAAATGCTAACGGTATACAAAATAACTGGATAAAGTACAGGATCATTAATCAGGATCATCAGGTCAAGAAGGAACACAAGAGAACATGTAAATATCACAACATTTTATTTATTTTAAGAGCGTAGAATGCAAGATTGACCTTTTAACCAGATGACAACTGGAAAGTGAGGAAAAGAAACACACAAAAAATGACAATGGACAGGAAACTGAACAGGCAGTGGAAGTGAAAAGCATTTCTAATATTCTTCACCCTCATCTTCTCCTTCCACACTCTCAGCCCCAACCTCCTCGTAATCTTTCTCCAGGGCAGCCATGTCCTCTCTGGCCTCTGAGAACTCGCCCTCCTCCATACCCTCACCCACATACCAGTGCACAAAAGCACGCTTGGCGTACATCAGATCGAACTTATGATTGAGACGAGCCCAGGCCTCAGCAATAGCTGTGGTGTTGCTCAGAGATGGAGAACTCCAGCTTGGACTTCTTGCCATAGTCCACAGACAGACGCTCCATCAGCAGAGAGGTGAAGCCAGAACCGGTTCCACCACCAAAGCTGTGGAACACCAGGAAACCCTGGAGACCTGTGCACTGGTCAGCCTGAAAGACATGATTCATGTTAAAAAGGCAATCAAGTTTTTTAATGTTTTAATTAGTCATAATTTAACACCACTTAACTTTAAAGGAGTTGTTATTAAATTAATGACTAACCAGTTTGCGAATTCTGTCCAAAACAAGATCAATGATTTCCTTTCCAATAGTGTAGTGGCCACGGGCGTAGTTATTGGCAGCATCTTCCTTTCCAGTGATGAGCTGCTCAGGGTGGAACAGCTGACGGTATGTACCAGTGCGCACCTCATCTGGAAAGATGGTCAATGTTTAGTGACCGGAGCACTATGACATACAGAATCATCATAAATTAGTACCATCCTCTTACCAATGACAGTGGGCTCCAGGTCTACAAACACAGCCCTGGGGACGTGCTTTCCAGCTCCGGTCTCACTGAAGAAGGTGTTGAAGGAGTCATCACCTCCTCCAATGGTCTTGTCGCTGGGCATCTGCCCATCTGGCTGGATGCCGTGCTCAAGACAATAGAGTTCCCAGCAGGCATTGCCAATCTGGACTCCAGCTTGACCAACGTGGATAGAGATGCACTCACGCTGTGAAGAGACGAGTGATTTATAAGATTTGTAGACATAGCACACCTTAGGTCAACATTCTATAATTGCAAATAAAGATTTAGCCATTCAGTTGTGCAAGTTCACAAAATAAAACCACTTTTACTAGTTCATTAAGCCAACAAAGGACTCTTTGATGAGCATGTTAATATACAGTACATGAATGGAATGTTTTTGTACCAAAGCAAATTTTTTTATTTATTTATGCATTCAAGCACTGATGGAAAATGCCTCTACTGCATTTCAGAAACTGCTATTGTCGCAAAAACCCCTGACCACACAAACAGCTGATGAAACAGATCTGCCTTTGTTTGGGGCTTTACGGTTTTATTACAGTGAGCCTGCATTCCTTAATTACATCAACTTTTAAAATATAAAAGAACTACAAAAAACTAAAACTACTCACGTACATTGTAAAATAACAAGTTATGACATTAATTTTAATAAGTGAGAGTATCCAAGTCTAGTATATTATTACAAAATTTTAATTCAGACAAATCCGAATTGGGTAAAACACTTCTCAGTTTTAGGCTGGTTATGCTCATGAACCACTTAAGCTTAATCATGAGGAACTTAGGCTTTAAACCTCTTGACACAAGAGCACTGGTATTCATCAAGTTTCACCGGAACGCACGTGGTCCTCCCGACTCATTTCCGGTAGCGGTAACCCTAGCACACTGCTTTAGAGAAGTGCCTTTGCATAAGTCATCAGAACAAAGGAAGATATTTTACTACACACGTCAGTATATTCTCCTCACAATCTTGGTAATCAGATCGTTTTTTTTTTTTAATACCTGTCGTTTTATATCAGGGAAATAAACGGCACGTTTTTAATTTATATGAATCGTGCGCCAAATTACACAAAGTCTCTTAGACTTTACATTTGTATAAAAGACACGTTATTTTTTTCCTTGACATTTAATCTGTAAAACCTTACCCAAAAATGTATTAACGTTCAAGAAAAATAAATCAATAAAATAAAACTTTTAACAGCTAATAATTCGTGGAGTTCAAATACCTACCAAAAATAACTTCGCAGGCTCAATGCTTAAACTTACAGGATTATAGTACAGCACCTTAATATTAAAATAATGATCCATAATTTAAAATGCTGTGTCAAAAACCGCTATCACAGACGATGTAAAACACCTTCCACTATCTTTAACAATAATGACACCTCTTTATAAGTTAAACAAAAGTTTTATACTCACCATTCTCGGACTTTTTATTAAAAAAAATATGAGGGCATGGAAATCGTAGGTTTTCTGTTATTAGCGCTCTCACAAGTCGACTTTCATGAGTCTGGTGAGAATGAAATGCCTGAAAAAGGTGGGTGGGGATATTTATACTTTTCTGTCAGCCGTCACCAAGGCGGAGCGCGAGCGAGGAGACGTTTCGCTTCCTGTCACATCCCCATTGGTTCGTCTGAGGGTCAGTGGCACCCCATTGGCTGATTCTAACCTTTGAACAATAACGTCTGTGACAGGAAAATGCTGTACGAGGCGGGACGAACTTGAGCAATAATGGCTGTTAGTCATATGAAAAATTAACATTTAATACAATTAAAGAAAATTAACCAGTTTTGTCTTTGATGTTTTTGTATAAATTGGGTGTGTAGCACTGTACTTAATTATGGGCATAGATATGGCTGTTGTTCTATTTAAATACATGTATTTCGCGTTAGCCTACTAATTAAGTCATCAACAATGTGAATATTGTTCATTCTTTGCTTACACAATTACCTGCCATTTAGGGGAAAAACATAAAGGCAAAGTTTATCTCATTAATCAGAGTCTTGGCATGAGGAAACATTCTTGGTAATTCAGATTAAATAAAATACACCCAAAGCTTATAATTTTATGCTAATTATATGTTCGTCAGAAAACCACACAACTATGGTTCACTTGTATGAAATGTAATCCTATATCTCAGTGCTTAATTTGTCAGTTAAAGGGGTCATAGAATCATCAGTGGCAACGAAAAACACAGCGGCCTAGCGTGAGGGGCGCTGAGGCCGGGATAGAGTGAGCTGAGGGGGGCTGGACTCCGCTTCGTCCACGGTGAAAGTTGATGTATTTCGCCTTCTTTCTTTGCGTGAACATTTGGGCGGCTTTATGCAAATCTTCCCATATAGTGAGGTAGATATGTGGGGGTGTGTTAGAACGAGCCGTTTTAGGTAGGCGTGGTTGACTCTTAACTTTTATAAAGAATATCTCTTTGGTTTTGAGACTTTAGTGTTTGCAACTTTACAGATCTTCTTTATGCACCAAGAGCTTGTAACACTCCAAAGAGAAAGGAAAAATTGAAATCGCATCATATAACCCCTATAAAAGGCGCCGTGACCGGCACTGACAATACAACTTCAGTTTCCCTCGACATTCAATGACGTCACTAAACGATGATGACACAACTATGAGCATCGTTCACAAGTTTCTGCATGGACCTAACTATACAGCCTAGGTTTTCAAACCCTGCCTCAAAAATGGGTCGCCGGGATGATTTAAGGCAAACATATGTAAGTTACATAAAAAAATAAAAAATGTTGTTTCCATAAAAATAAAATACAATCATAATCTATATAGAAATTAAAGGTATAAATATGCGAAATATAGGCCTATCTGACATAAATAATTAACAGATATAAAACAGATTTGAGGCGCGGCGATCCGCAAACAGGTTCACGGAAAGGAAACCAAGAACTGAGCTGGTTTAAGATGGTCCTTTGCTGGTTTATGCTGGTCCTTTGCCAGCAAAGGACCAGCATAAACCAGCAAAGGACCAGCTTAAACCAGCATCCCAGCATCAAAACATACCTAACCAGCATATGCTGTTTTTTTCAACAGGGTTATCAAAATAAAATACAGTCAGCCAAACATATCAATTTAAAGAGTCCGTAGTATAACCGGTCTACAGCTGCTGTTATGCCAAGCGCATTTTTGCGCATGTGAAGAGGATGATTTTTTTCCCGTCGATATGCGAACGCGCATGAAGCCTAGTCTACATTATAAATAATAGTTTAACATTGAAATACATTACGAATATGGAAACATTGGATTTGTGCCTAATGAGAGAGGTACGTGAGGCCAATGGTAGCCTACTTTCAGTTTCTTTTAGCTTTATATTTTTTAATTCTTGATCTGTTCTGCATACCGTTACATTTAAATGATTTGTTTTGGATTGAGGGGAACTAGGCTATGATTATAGTGTTTATAATATTTATACATTATAACATTTCACTTTATTTAGTATTATTTCTGGTATTATTACAGAAATGCACTTGTTAATGCCGGATCTTTAAAAACAAATACCGGAATGCAAAAATCCAAAATCTAACATCTAACATTTCCCGGAACAGGATCCGGCAGAATCCGGGTCAAATTAAGCACTGCATCTGCGCAGCCCCAATCTCACACAGACTGAATTGTTCTTATGGAAATGTTGCTGCAAGGAAAATATCTTTTTTGAAACTGGATCATAAAGAATGAAAATTAAATAAAATAAAAGACTTTTATAGCAATGAATGCTACTTTATTGTTTGTTAAGGCTAATGGTTCTCTACATGATGTGTTGCTGTTACTTTCTGGATGGTACCCAAGTAAGGAGAACAGCTTTTCACTTGTACAGTCATTTCTGTGTCATTCATAGGCCCTGATGTATTCCATCTAACATATGTATGTACATTTTCCTCAGTATTGGTGTGCAACAAAAGTGTTATGTTGAAAGATGGTTGAACATGAGCATTCCCATTTTTTTACTTTTAAAAACTTTAGAACACCTGTTCTACTGTTGATCTTTAAAACACTTTAAAACACTATCATTGCTTACATCTGTTATAGCCTACATAAATATACACAATAATTTAACAGAAGACAAATTGTTTGAAAAGGAGCTTTATTTCAGATGTCCAAAGAACTGTAACAACATCTTTTTCATTGGTGGTAAGGTTTATTTTTCACTGCTTGAATTTTTCCATGTCATGGTTCCTGCATGTTGCTCCTCATTCTGTCATTTAATACTCCTCGCCCTCCTCTTCTCCCTCACCCTCAACAGAATCAACACCGACCTCCTCATAATCTTTCTCCAGGGCAGCCATGTCCTCTCTGGCCTCTGAGAACTCGCCCTCCTCCATACCCTCACCCACATACCAGTGCACAAAGGCACGCTTGGCGTACATCAGATCGAACTTATGATCGAGACGAGCCCAGGCCTCAGCAATAGCTGTGGTGTTGCTCAGCATGCACACGGCCCTCTGCACTTTAGCCAGATCACCACCTGGAACCACAGTGGGAGGCTGGTAGTTGATGCCAACCTTGAAACCAGTGGGACACCAGTCCACAAACTGGATGGTGCGCTTGGTCTTGATGGTGGCGATTGCGGCGTTCACGTCTTTGGGCACCACGTCACCACGGTACAGCAGGCAGCAAGCCATGTACTTGCCGTGACGTGGGTCGCATTTCACCATCTGATTGGCTGGTTCGAAGCAAGCATTAGTGATTTCAGACACAGAGAGCTGCTCATGGTAAGCCTTCTCTGCGGAAATCACTGGGGCATAGGTAGCCAATGGGAAGTGGATACGAGGATAGGGCACCAAGTTGGTCTGGAATTCTGTAAGATCGACATTGAGGGCACCGTCAAACCTGAGGGAAGCTGTGATGGAGGACACAATCTGGCCAATGAGCCTGTTGAGGTTGGTGTAAGTAGGACGCTCAATGTCAAGGTTCCTACGGCAAATATCGTAAATGGCCTCATTGTCTACCATGAAGGCGCAGTCAGAGTGCTCTAGGGTGGTGTGGGTGGTCAGGATGGAGTTGTAAGGCTCTACCACAGCGGTGGAGACCTGAGGAGCGGGGTAGATGGAGAACTCCAGCTTGGACTTCTTGCCATAGTCGACAGACAGACGCTCCATCAGCAGAGAGGTGAAGCCAGAACCGGTTCCACCACCAAAGCTGTGGAACACCAGGAAACCCTGGAGGCCTGTGCACTGGTCAGCCTGAAAAAACAGTATGGTAATTAACCCAATATAATATATCATTAATTTTGTTTGTTTGATCATTTGCAACTACCTACCAGTTTGCGAATCCTGTCCAGCACCAGGTCAATGATTTCCTTTCCAATAGTGTAGTGACCACGGGCGTAGTTATTGGCAGCATCTTCCTTTCCAGTGATGAGCTGCTCAGGGTGGAACAGCTGACGGTATGTACCAGTGCGCACCTCATCTGGAAAGATGGTCAATGTTTAGTGACCGGAGCACTATGACATACAGAATCATCATAAATTAGTCCCATCCTCTTACCAATGACAGTGGGCTCCAGGTCTACAAACACAGCCCTGGGGACGTGCTTTCCAGCTCCGGTCTCACTGAAGAAGGTGTTGAAGGAGTCATCACCTCCTCCAATGGTCTTGTCGCTGGGCATCTGCCCATCTGGCTGGATGCCGTGCTCAAGACAATAGAGTTCCCAGCAGGCATTGCCAATCTGGACTCCAGCTTGACCAACGTGGATAGAGATGCACTCACGCTGTGAAGAAAATGTTAAAAGTCAACTAAACAAATATCACTGCACTATATAAATGTCACTCACTTGCAAAGCTTTAGCATGTCAAACTGTATTTCACCCAACATTGGAACTTCTAAGGCTACACTTACAGCCTGTATATCCTGTTTCTGTGCAATTATATCCTAGTGAGATATCATGTCAGAGGAAGTGATCACATAACACCCTCAACTGCTGGTTTACTGGCCATGTCCATCAGCTGCATTAGTGATGCTGCCTACATCATCATGAATATTTAACAGCTTCACCAACAGCCCTGAAATGCGATACGATTTCTACAAATAAATGTAATCGCAAGGATCGTCCCTCGAATAAACCGTTTTTTTATATATTCTTAATAGTACATATGATTAAAAAACATATTAAAAAAATAAATGACCATATCCTTTGGGAGGCGCTGCATCTCTCTCTCTCTCTCTCTCTCTCTCTCTCTCTCTCTCTCTTTGTGAGGCGCTGTGTCTCTCTCTCTCTCTCTCTCTCTCTCTCTCTCTCTCTCTCTCTCTCTCTCTCACTCTTTTTTGGTCCATTGATTCAATATGACACCGTACCGGACAGCATGGAGCCGGCTACACCCAGATTATTTATGCGGCTCCATTCTCTTTGTTGTCTCGTTCTCGTGTGCTCCATATTCCCAAAACCTGTTATTTTTTCCATATTCTTTCTTAGTTTATAAACACATCCATGACTATATTATGTAGCCTATGTAAAATACATACATTTAAATACATAAATTAATTTAAAATAAATGGGGAAAAAAAGGATTTCAAACACA